TGTTGGTAATTTTTAACAACAATATTTAAACCTTGCAAGTGCACAAATCAAATGATAGTATAGTAAGCAAGCAAGGGTCGATCCCACAGAGATTGTGATCTAAAGAGATGTTTATCAATGTCGCACGATGAAAACTAAAACACAATTAAACACGAAAATAAAATAAAGATTGAAACCACAAGGACTTCCACACACACTCCAACACCAAGGGGGGTTTTGATTTGATTTTGTGAATAAAACAAAATAAGGAAAACAAAACAAAACAGAATTTAAATTAGAGTTTAAGAGAAATTGGTTTATAATCAATCAAGAACAATAGCTAGGACTCACTATCCACCTCTAACCAATCAATCAATTCATACACAACAATAGATAATCAATTTCTAGCAATCATATGATGACGACACTCACAACAAGATCATGGCATTTGACTCGAGTTGTATGATTCTCTCTTAAGTGCATGTAAAGTGTATGGCATTTACATCAATACGTGTATTCTTAATTGAAATCTAGTATGGCATTTACTCAAATTAACAATCAAGAATCCATTAAGATCAAAGAGAATATGAGTGTCACAAAAACCCTAAAACATGGCATTTGTTATTAGGAATTCAAGAATCGATTTCTCATAACTAGTTCTTAACCCAATTATTCGTTGCAAACAAGAACACATTCAATATGGCAATTGACCTATGTTCTACAACAATTTAATTCCAATACATGCTTCAAAGTTAGCTACTCAAAGAAACAAAATATCAGAATTCACATAACCTAGAGAAACCGAAATCATCACGCTTGTAGAAACTGAAAATCCATTCAAACTTGTCTATAGAATTGAAATCATGTTTAGGGCTTCAAGATTAAGCCCTAACTAACAAGAAATTAGTTACTCATGCTCTTGGATGAACTCAAAAATAAATACATAAGAACTGAAACTTAAAAGAAGAAAGGAAAAGAAAGAACTCGTTGGCAGCTTTCTCCTCTTACACGGTTGATCCCTTTTTGACGTGAATCTGTATCCGGGGCCTTGGCTGGCCTTTTATATCACTTATATCAGAGTTCTAAAACCCTAAAATTGACTGACAAGTCGTCCAAGAAGTCTTGGTAAACAAGGAATCCAAATAGGAAAGTAAAAATCACAATTCCTAACTCCACAGGGAAATACAGCTCAGCCCAATTGTCACACGATTTGGGGATCTTCAGCCTTGCAGAAAAATCATTAAAAATATATTTTAGAAAGATAAATGTCTTATCTTTCCAACCATATATAGCACGTAACTTGGAAAATTCGGGAAGGCTTCCGTTTCTTCACATTCACGTAACATGTATGAAACTGTCTTGTCTGCACGTGGGCTAACTTTACTTGTAATACTGTACCAATTGGCTTTGTAGAAAATTCTAGAAAAATCACAGATTGAACTTCAAGATGTTAGCTTTCATCTCCAATTGGCCTTGCTCTAAAATTCCTCCGAAAAGTTGATTTTTCCTTAAAAACCTTCTAAGAGCGCAGAAAAGCTGAAAATCAGAAAAGTAAAGTAATAAGCCCTTTTTAAATCTAATTCTCCTACAAAACTTAAGTAAAAAGAGTACATAAATGAGTATATTTATGGACTTATCAGGAACCCTTGCCCCATTCACGCCACTGCTGCTTCTTCATTTCTCTCAAACCCAAAGTCCCTCTCTTCTGCTCTGCCAGCACCGTCACTAGCGTCCACCTGCATCCACGATGGCCCTCGATCTCGCAGCCCCAATGCCTTCAGCCCTCGATCCACAATATTGAGAAGATGTTGTCTAATGGTTTTTCATCCAAAAAGAACATTGAGTCACCTAAGAACCACGTGACCAATAATCTTGTAAGGATGATTTTAAGAACCGATATCCATCGATCCGAAGGTAAGATTAATTCCAGAATTTGTTGTGGGTCCTAAGCTGTAGAGATGTTGGTTATGTATAGATGTGTGTTCTTTGCCCCTGCGAGTACTCATATTGATGTGCACTGTATAGGAAATATGCAAATCCAGGAGAGGGCAGTCAACACACAAGCTCAAAGGAGATGGAATCACATAGGAATGCGAAAGGTGGATCCGTGCTTCATGTGAGTATAATTTCGAATTCCTTCAAATTTTGTGGTTGTGGATTCGGTAGTAAAAGCTGTACTCAATGTTATGGTGTAGAGCTCTGTGTTTTAACTGCTCAAAAGTATGTGTCTATGCTAGATCTACACAACTATCCCCAAACTTGCATCTTTGAGTGAGCTCATGTTAATTTCCTTAACTTCCAACATAGTGTAGATGTGGTGATGTTAATGTAGACTTGTTGTTGGGTGCATGATTCCAATATAGGGTTGTTGCTGGGTGCATGGTTCCAGCATAGGATTTTCTGCTTTTGATGCTTGCTGCTGATTGTTGTGTCCTGCACTGAATCAAATATGTGTTAGGAGTAGAAAGAAAATAAAAAAAACTATTGTTATTTCTTTTTTCTTTTTTCTTTTTTTGGTTTATTTTGAAAATAAAAGAAGTAAATAGTTTAGAAAAATTAGGTTGCCTCCCAATAAACGCTTTATTTTAAGTATGTAGCTAGACATTGCAAAAGTCTAGTGGTCAAATCACTGGTTCCTTCAGAGTCAATAACTCGTTTGCAATGTCGAAAGGTGTCTCCACGTAGGGCTTCAGCCTATGACCATTCACCTTGAATGCATTTCCTTTAGCCTCATTAGTTAGTACAATTGCCCCATGAGAAAAAACTTGAGTCACCAAGTAGGGTCCAGTCCAGCGAGATTTTAATTTCCCTGGAAATAACTTGAGCCTTGAACTAAGTAACAGAACCTTTTGCCCTGGTTGAAATTCCTTCCGTAAAATTTGACTATCATGAAATGCCTTAGTTCTTTCCTTGTAGATGCGAGAACTATCATAAGCACCTTGACGAATTTCCTCTAGCTCATTTAACTGCAATTTCTGCTTTTCCCCAGCTGAGTCATTTGCGAAATTTAACTCTTTAATGGCCCAATAAGCTTTATGCTCCAGCTCCATAGGTAGATGACAAGCTTTCCCATAAACAAGTCGGAATGGGGACATCCCAATAGATGTCTGTGGGTGGTAAGGTGTAGCCACGCGATGATTAATGCCATACTTTACTAGTAGGTTAGCAAACGGTTTATTAATGAAATGCTTCCTCCCATCGCTAAGAATAATGCGTGGAATTCCAAAACGTGGAAATACAACCCCTTGGAGGAACTTCAGGACCACTGATCCTTGATTGGTTGGTGCTGCAATGGCTTCGACCCACTTTGAAACATATTCCATAGCCACTAAAATGTATTGGTTCCCTTTAGAAGATGGGAATGGTCCCATGAAATCAATACCCCAAATATCAAACAGTTCAACAATTAGGATACTTTGCTGGGGCATCTCATTCCGTCTGGATTTATTGCTGACCCTTTGACACCTATCACAAGCCTTGCACCAATTCTGTGAATCTTTAAAAAGTGTTGGCCAAAATAACCCACTCTGTAGGATTTTCTCTACTGTCCTTTTCTGCCCAAAATGTCCTCCACAGGCACAGTGATGAGCAAACTTTAAAACACTTTCCCGTTCAGCTTCCGGAATACACCTGCGAATTATCTGGTCTGGACAATACTTTTATAAGTAGGGTTCATCCTAGAAATAGTGCTTCACATCAGATAAAAACTTCTTTTCCTGCTAATAGTAAAAATCTGGATGCACCCCACCCTTAGCCAAATAATTGACAATATCTGCAAACCAAGGTGTATCAATTTGGATAGCAAATAGCTGTTCATCTGGGAAACTTTCACTCAATGGTTGAGAATCTGCCTCCGTAGCTGCTGGAATAATTAATCTTGATAAATGGTCAGCCACAACATTCTCACTGCCCTTCTTGTCTTTAATCTCTAGGTCAAATTCTTGAAGTAAAAGAACCCAACGAATCAACCTAGGCTTTGCATCTTTCTTAGACAACAAGTATTTTAGGGTAGCATGATCAGTATAAACAATTACTTTAGCCTTAACCAAATAAGACCGAAATTTCTCTAGTGCGAAACACAACTGCTAACAATTCCTTCTCTGTAGTTGCATAGTGAAGCTGTGTATCATTGAGAGTACGACTTGCATAATAAATGACATGGGGAAGCTTATCTTTCCGCTGCCCTAAAACTACCCCGACAGCATAATCTGATGCATCACACATTAGCTCGAATGGTAAACCCCAATCTAGTGTAGCAATGATGGGTGCCGAAGTTAGGAGTGCTTTCAATTTGTTGAACGCTTCTAAACAGCTCTCATCAAAATTAAATGGTGCGTCCTTAGCCAATAAATTGCAAAAAGGTCGACTAACCTTGGAGAAATCCTTGATGAACCGGCGATAAAAACCTGCATGTCCTAAGAAGGACCTCACACCTTTAAATGATGTAGGGGGTGGCAGCTTTGCAATAACTTCAATCTTGGCTTTGTCAACCTCAATGTCTTTGCTAGAAATTGAATGACCCAAGACAATTCCATGTTTCACCATGAAATGACACTTTTCCCAATTTAGCACTAAATTTGTTTCTTGACATCTCTCAAGAACTAATGATAAATTCTGCAAGCACTGATCATATGAATCCCCAAAACTAGAAAAATCATCCATAAAAACTTCCACATTATTTTCGACCAAGCCAGAAAAAACACTCATCATACAACATTGAAATGTAGCAGGTGCATTGCATAATCCAAACGGCATCCTCCGATAAGTATAAATACCGAATGGACAAGTGAAAGTGGTTTTCTCTTGATCCTCTGGTGCGATTGGAATCTAATTATATTCAAAATACCCATCAACAAAACAATAAAAAGCACGCCCAGCCAACCGTTCCAACATCTGGTCAATGAAAGGCAATGGAAAATGGTCTTTTCTTGTCCATGTGTTAAGCTTCCGGTAATCTACAGACATTCTCCAACCCGTAGTCAATCGTGTAGGAACTAACTCATTGTTATCATTTTTCACCACTGTGATACCTGTCCGCTTAGGCACAACTTGTGTAGGGCTAACCCATTTACTATCAAAAATATGATAAATCATACCTGCATAAAGTAATTTCATAACCTCTGTTCTGACCACCTCTTTCATAATTCGGTTAAGATGGCATTGAGCATCGACTGTTGGCTTCAAGTCGTCTTCCATTAAAATTCTGTGCATACATATTGCTGGGCTGATACCCTTGATGTCCGTAATTATCCATTCCAATACATTTTGATATTTTCTCAACACACGAAGCAATTTATCTTCCTCTGTGGTAGTGTCTCTGTAGCTCTTAAATATGCATATTTCAGATGTTCTGGTAAAGGTTCAGCTCCAATTTTGGTGGCTATTGTCTGGACGGTTTAAGGGGCTGTTTAGGTTCCCTTAAACTCTTGTACACATTCCTAAACTTTGGAAACAATATGGGTAGACTGTTCAATGCATGAATGTACTCAAGAACACCTTCATCTTCAGAATTTGTCCTAAGTTCCCCTTGTAAAACATGCAGCAACTAATCTATTTTTCAACTGGCATAAAAACTATCTCGAACCATACTGTCTACCACGTCAATGTGCATACATTCTTCAGCAGGACGTTTCGCTATCTCAAACAAATTAAACACCACAGATTGGTCCTGAACTCATAAAGTCAATGTTCCAGCTACCACATCAATTAAAGTCTTAGCTGTGGCCATAAACGGCCTTCCCAATAACACCCCTTGGATAAGTGATTGAACGGTCAGCCAGTTGAAGTATAATTGATGTAGCCTTTAAATCTCCTCGCCCCAATAGTTGGAAAATAGAAAAAGACATCAAATTAATACTTGCACCCAAATCAATTAAAGCACTTTTAAAGTTAGAATTTCCAATGGTACAAGAAATATTAAAACTCCCTGGATCTTTTTTCTTAGGTAGCAGTTTGTGTAGCAAAATGACTTTGTCCAAATCTGCAAGCTTCCTTTTGCTGCTGCAAACTTCTTTCAAAAATTTAACATATGATGGAATTTTCTTGATCACATCCAGCAATGGAATGTTGATTTGAACCTTGGATAATGTCTGCATAAAGTCCTTGATGATCCCTCGCTTTAGGAATTACACGGTTAGGATAGGGCAGTGGAGGGTCATAAACACGTTGTAAAGCCTATTTTAGGAGAGTTTCGGATCTGCCAGATTATGTTTTTCTGCAGTTTTGGCAAGTTATGCTGATGCAAAATTTTCTACATTATCCTCCACTATTTACTGCTCCTTTTCAATGCTATTTTGACGATTGTCATAGCTTTTTCCACATCGTAGAGTCCAAACAACGTTGCAATCTTCACGTCCTTTTGGATTAGGCACTATTTGACCAGGAAATTTGCCTTTTTCTCTATATGAAATCTGTGCAACTAGCTGTCCAAATTGTTGTTCCAAACTTTTAATTGATGCTTCCACATTTTGAAATCTTTGATTGTTGCCCTCGATGAATGATTGAGTTGTTGCTGCCAGTTTAGCAAGTTGATCATCCAGAGATAGTTTAGATGGAGCAAATGGTCTTTGTGCATGCTGGAATGGTTTTGCATTATTCTGATTGTCACCCTATTTGAAATTAGGGTGATCCCTCCATCCTGGATTGTAATGATTAACATATGCATCATTCCTAGGCCTTTGATAGCTGTTCATCATATTAACATGTTGCTCAACAACCTTTGGGTAGGATTCTCTATGCGGGTAGCCAACGATATCGTGTGTAGCCATACTGCAGATAGTGCAAACTGTTGTTGCAGGTGGCTGCTGTGTAGAACTTGTTATATATTGTAAAATAATGTCAAAATTCGCATCAATTTTCTTCTCCATTTTTTCCATTTGTGCAGACATGTTGGGATAACCTACTGATAACTCAAAAATGCCCCTTTTCTGTGAATGTTCTGCTGCCCATTGCTGAGATGTTGGATTAAGCTCATCAAAAAAAATATTCATCTGTGTATCTGAATTGATATTAGCATGTGGACACTTAATGTATATCTCTGTATATCTTTCCCATGCTTCATGAAACTCTTCATTAGGCTTCTGTGTGAATGTCAAAATCTCCCTCTTGTAATTCAATGTCTTGGATGCTGGATAATATTTGTTCAGGAATTTGTGTGTAACTGCTGCCAAATAGTAATGCTATTAGCTGGTAGAGTGAATAACCAAGTTTCTGCCTTGTCCTTCAAAGTGAAAGGGAAAAGACGTAACTTAATAGCGTCAGCAGAAAAACCCATAATCAAAATATTTTTGCAACCCATAATAAATTTTGCAATATGTATGTTTGCATCTTCATTAGGCAGCCCACGAAATGTTGGTAAAATTTCAAGCAAATGGTGCTTGACCTCGAATAAATCACCCTCTTCTTGTTCAGGATACACAATGCAATTGGGGACATCAGTGGCACAGGCTGCCAACTACTCTCTGAGTGGTCTACCTGCTGCAGGTAATTCTAATGCTATGTTTCCCTTGTCCACAAAATTTGCAAACAAATTCTGCAAAAAAGTGCCCTTCAATGAACAATCCCAGGCCCAGTTAACTTTTCTTCGCTGTCTGTGTAAGGTGCGCTCTGGTTCTGCTTCAAACTATGCAATCTATGCAGTTCCTGATCTGGTTTGGACCATGCAGCCTGCAGAATCAGAAACAGAAACAAAATTGTTCAAATATATATATATATATATTTTGACGAAAAATAAAAAATATATCAAAAAAGGTTTAAACAGAAATAATCTAAAATAGTCCCAGGCAACGGCGCCAATTTCTTGATAGGATTTTGAGTACCTGTGCAAATAGGGTTAAAATCACATAAAATACTTGCAAGAATACAAGGCTACTATAGAATAGATGCTCAAGGCCTATTCAGCAATTTAAGTAAAAACAATTTCCAAATAACTACTTAAAATAAAAGGTTGAGAAAGATGTTTAAGAAATTGGTTGATACTAAAAATGAATTTTAAACAAAAAAAAAATACGATTGAAGGAAAAAAAAGTTTTAAATACCAATTTATAAAAGCACTAGGGTTTCACCATCACCTCGCAATCCTATGAATTTTTACCAATTACTTATGATTTGCACATGTCACTTTGAAGGTTAGGTTTTACTAATTTATATTCTACTTGGAACCTCCAACATGGAACGTATATCCAACATGCAACCTGTTTGAATGTTCGGATCAAATCTAAACATGAAAGACTCATTAAGTTCTGTGAAAACCCTTTGAAAAACTTTGCAACCCTTAAGACGTGGTGTTCATCTTAAGTGAAATTACAATTATTAATCACAAAAAGCCAGCGTCAATTTTAGGGAACCTTCCGGCCAAAATTGCATCTAATTACTTTTCTAAAGATCTTAATGGTGATCAGGCATTAAGACAATTAGATAGTTTAAAATA